CACTTGAGGCCGTCCATCCACCAGCCGGGCTGGAGCAACAATGCCGTCATTGCCTTGGGGACAGGGAGGGGCGGTGGCCTCCTTGTCCACCCAGTTCCCGGCAGGGGTTGTTGTGTGATGCTGTTCCGTGTGAGTGTGTGGGCGCGTGTGTGGGTTGGTGGGTGCACACAGGTCTGTGTGGTGACCTCTGCCTCCTGCAGGAGTAAGCGAAGGGCTTGCAGGTTGTGGGGTGCCCGTGGGTCCCGGACACCTGTGTACCTGTGTGGGTGAGGCGTGTGCACACGCACGCACAGACTGGCTCCCTTGTGTGTTCAGGACCTGAACCCTCGCGGGCTGCACAGGGACCCAGGGCCGTCCCTCAACCCAGCCAGGTCCTGGCATCTGAGGACACAAAGGCAGCAGGTCGTGTTCCCCGCCTGCTGCGAGCATGAGCAGTCGGAAGGGAGCCCTCACGGGGGACTCCGGGCAGAGTCCCTGCCCTTGGGCAGGGCCGCATAGCCACCGTCAGGTATGGGTGGGTGTGGGCGGGCCGGCATTCTCTAGAAAAGCAGACAGGGAGACAGACGCAGAGCTGTCTCAGGAGGAACTGGCTTCTGTTGTGAGGCTGGGGAGTCCCAGGTCTGCTGTCCCCCAGCTGCAGGCCAGGAGAGGCTAAGGCTGAGAACCAGGCTCCGACGGTGTGAGCCCGTCTAAGGGGGGGGATGGAAGGGATAGACAGTGTCCTGACCCGTTACATGGCCGTGGGCACGTGGCCACTGCTATGCACTTCCTGTCTCCTTGGCTGGAGGGCTGCTCCCCGGCTGCCCCTGGGCCACCACGTACGGTCTCCTCTGCGGATGGCCAGATAATCCTCATGTGCATGGCCAGGGACCATAGTTTGTGTCCCTGCGGGTCCCAGTGCTGCCAGTGCCCGCTGAGTCACAGCCCATGAAGTCACCGTGAAGTCATCAGTATCGGGTGTGAAGCTCGGCCTGGTGCCATCGCTCTCCTGGCTGCGAACCCAGCTGTGTCCTCTTCATGTCCCCAGCTATGAGTGGATGACACTGCAGTAGAACCTGCCGCCGAGAGAAGCGAGGCCGGCAAAGATCCCCAAGCTGGGCGGGGCGGGGGCGGGGACCGGAGCGGAGAGGGGTTCACGCAGCAGTCAGGTTGACAACGAGCCCGGCAACCTCTGGAACCCGAGCCTGGGCTGGAAATGGAGCTTCCGGATGGCTCTCCTGGGTGGCTTTCAGGACACCTGATACGGAGGACCTGACCCCTGGAGGCAGAGCAGGCCGCCCGGGGGTGAGACGGCTGCTGCCCGAGCCTCGGGGTGCCCAGCAGTGGATGAGGCCACCCGAAATGAGTGGCTCGGGGAAATCGTCACGGCGATTTCCCTCAAAGCCCCAGCTGTGGAGCTGCTGGGAACAGGGCGTCTGCGACCACGAATGCGTCACTCCTCCTAGATACCCCAGGAACGGGGCTGGGTGTACCCGGGTGTTCAGTGTACGTGCGCTGGGGGTCCTCACCCACCGTGCCCCCTGCCAGGGGGTCCAGCCCACTTACTCCCTGTTCCTGAGGAGGAAGAGAGGTGGGGAGGGCCTTCGCTTGCCTCCTGTCGGGGTGCCCCTGTGCAGCCCTACAGGCCCCTGTACCCGTAAGACTTGTGCTCACGGCGTAGCCTAGACAGCCGGCTGGGAATGTCTCAGACACCCCCGGGCCCTGCAGTCCAGCAGGAGCCAGAGCCCCAAAGTGGGAGGGAGCAGCTGGCTCTGGGTCCTTCTGTGTGCCCTCTGCTTGCCCACTGGCCTGCAGGCCACTTCCAGATGCTCCCCCAGACCGTGTTCTCCTCCATACCCTTCTGCGGCTCCCTTGTGGCATTAGATAACACCCAGACCCAGCTCGGTGGCCGCCCAGGCCCCGTGCAGCTCAGCCCTCCCAGTCCGGTCCCCGCCAGCCAGCCAGGGGCCCTGCTGCCCACGATGGTGGGCATCATCTTCGTCAGGCCTTGGCAGTGGCGGGGCCCTTCCTGCTCTCCCGCCTGCCTCTCCCAGCTGGGGGTGCTGCCAGCGAAACTTGGCATCGGCCAGCCCGTGTCAGCACCTCCCGCTCCAGCCTCCTTCTCGTGGGCGTCCCCTCCCCTGCTGTCTTCTGTAGGCACAGCAGTCACCAGGCCGCGGCCCGCCCAACGGAGCAGGGCCTCGCCGTGGCCAACCCGACCCGCAGCGGCTCCAACTCCAAGCCTGTGCTCGCTCCAAAGACTTGGACGTGTGGGAGCAGCACCGACGGCCTGCGACAGACCCCTCTGAGGGGCAGAGCAGTGGAGTTCCCGGGAGGCTTTGCCCAGCCCCGAACCAGGAGGTGGCCGAAGGGAGCTGGGCTCTGACAGGGGCCGAGTGCCTGGCACCTGTGCCTGCTGAGGGGCATCTGCGTCTTGGAGAAGGCCAGGGCGGCCCACAGCCCTCGCTGGCCCAGCTGACCAGGGTCCTGTGGGGGGCCGGAGGCCGGGAGCTGGGGCGTCCAGGACCAGCCACATGACCTCCCTGTCTGCAGCATGGAGGCCGAGGCAGCCGTGGTGGCTGAGGGCGGGCGAGATAGAGGCAGCTGAGCCCCCAGCTGGAGGCCGCCGCTGGGACCCCCCACCTCCCTGAGCAGGGTCTCTGGCTGAGGGACAGAGGCACCTCTTCCTTTATTATGCACTTAACAGGGGCGGCCAAGATGTGTGGGCTGGACCTGGAGGGCTGCGGGGCTGCAGGTCGGGAGGGCTGGCTGGGGAGGGCACCCGCCCTTCTGTCCCTTGGGGTCCCCTCCCTGGGAAGCCACTCTTGGCTTCTCAGGGTCTCAACCAAATCCCAAGCAGTCGGGGCGCCTGGTGTGGGGGCAGAGGGCGCTCAGCACAGCCTGCGTCCGGGTCCCCTGTGGGTCTCAGCACAGCCTGCGTCCGGGTCCCTGTGGGTCTCAGCACAGCCTGCGTCCAGGTCCCCTGTGGGTCTCAGCACAGCCTGCGTCCGGGTCCCTGTGGGACTCAGACCTCCACCTCTGCGTGCTCAGGAGGCAGGCGCCACATCCTCTCACATCCAGGTGGCTCAGGCACAGCCGCAGTGTCCAGCACGGAGGCCAGGCGAAGCTTTGTCCTGGCTGGCAGGGCAATGAATATCAGGAGAATGGGCTTGGAACAGAAGCGGGTTTCAGGGACACCTGTCTCCTGCTCAGCGAAGCAAGTGCTTTTAAACACCCGAAGGGCAGAGTCTTTCCTTGGGAGTCAGCTTGCGGATGACACTTAAGTAAAATGGGAATGCAAGCCAAAGTTGCCTTGGAATCCCAGGGAGGCTGAGGCAGGAGGGTCCCAAATTCAAGCCCAGCCTGGGCAACTTAGTAAGATTCTGTCTCAAAATAAAAAGTAAAAAAGGGCTGGGGATGTGGCTCAGTGAAAAAAGCCCTGGGTTCAACTCCCAGTACTAGGAAAAGAAAAAAAGGAATTAGAAACAGGGTTTGGTGGTACACACCTGTACTCCCAGCACTCAGGAGGCTGAGTCAGGAGGGCTAAAAATTAAAACCCAGCCTGGGCAATTTAATGACCCGGTCTTAAAATTTGAAAAAAAAAAATTCAAAAAGGGCTGGGGATGTAGCTCAATACAAAGGCCCCAGATTGAATTCCCAGAAACACACACACACACACACACACACACACACACACCGCAAATGAATGTGGCATTGAGGTTTCCGTTGGCCTATTCCAAAGTACTCTGGCTGGCTCCCTCTTCCCAAGGGGCAGGCAGCTCTATTCACAGTAGTCGAGAGGTGGAAACAGCCTACCCGCCCCCAGTGGATGATGCACAGACGGATGGCCAACATGCAGATGGTGGAGTCGTACACAGCCCTGAAGAGGGAGTTTGTTCTGATCCACATACCATGCGAAAGAAGCCAAAGCTGTGTATCAGGTGACTCCATTGATGCTACATGCCCAGAGCAGGAAAATCCATGGAAACAGAGGAGATGAATGGGTTGCAAGGACTGGAGGAGGCAGGCACAGAGCAGCTCTATGGGGCTTCCTTTTGGGATGAACTGAAGCTGGCACAACTCTGGAAATACACTGAAAACCCCAGAATTGTACACTTGGAAATGGTGAGTTTTCTGATGTGTGAATCCCAAGGAGTCCTCGGGTGTTCCTTTGGTAGCCACTCAGCTGGGCAGGATGCCCACAGAGCCGGCATGAAGCTGGGTCCTGGTGGTCTGGGAGGAGACCCCTGAGAACCCTTCCCCCACAGGGGGCAGCATCTGATCTGTCAGGACCAGAACAGCACCAAAAAGTGGAGGGAGGCTGTTGTGGTTTGGCTCTGTTTGCCCGCAAAAGTGCTGGAAGCTTGGTCCCTCCCCTCCCCTCTGCACCTCTTCTTTTTTGCTGTCCTAAGGGCCAGACCCTGGGTCTTACACACAGCTAGGCAAGGGCTTTACCACTGAGCTACACCTCCAGTTTATTTTGACACAAGATCTTGCTAAATTGCTCAGGGTGGGCTGGGACTTGTGATCCTCCTGCCTCAGCCTCCCAGGTGCTGGGGTTATAAGGCATGCACCACCATACCCAACCTCCTCTTTTCTTTAGCAAGACCCAGCCAGCCTCAGGTATTTAGTTTTGCCAACAGGAAACAGACCAAGACGCATGAGGAGCTTGGTGTCTCTTCGTGGGCTAGGAGGGCACTTTCTCCTGCTGGGGACATCAGTCCTCTCGGACTTGTGCCCCAGACCCGGCTGGGTGGGCATAGCTGGCTGCCCCAGTGTCCATCTTTCAGACAGACCGGCCTAAATCCTGGTGGCAGAAATGTCCCCTGGCCGGTCCTGGGCCATGGCTTGCACAGGACTGGAGCTGAGACCAGTGGGTGTCATTTCCCTGCTTCCTCTCCAGGCGGTCCCCCCAGCCGGCAGTGGCATCACACACCCGCCGGGCGCTCCTCCCAGCTCTCAGTCCCTGGGCTCGGGTCACTGCCCGGTCCCCTCGCATGCCTGTCAATCCTGGCGGGAATCTAACGGCCTGGGCCGCGGCCTGCAACTCCCCGACGCCACTTCCCTGCGGGAGGAGAACAGACGTGGGGAACCCTGCAGCCGCACAAGGGGCACAGACAGAGCCACCTCCCTCCCGGCCACAGGTCGTTAGCAAAAAAGAAATAAGCGCTGACACCCCAGGAGGACGCCAAAGGGTCAAGGCTGGTCAAGAACAAGGACTTGGTAAGAGAGGGACTGATGTCCCTCTCACCACGCTGCAGGGTGACTGCCGGGTCATCACCCTCGACCCGTGGGTCCTCGGCCGGGCGTTGTTCTAAAGAGATGACCAGGGAAGGATGTCACAGAGGTGCTCCATCCTGGGGCTGGGTGGTCTTCCTGGTACGCACTTGTCATTTGGACCCCAAGGGAACCCTCCCAACAATAGCTTAAGACAAAGGAGACTGGAGCATCTTCATAAGTCAACAGTTAATTTAGAAAACAGTCTATTAGATTAATAATTTGATTAGAAAGTCACATTGAACTTTAGCTAATTAAATAATTAGATTAAATTAATAATTGAATTGAAGAATGAAATAAAATGGTAAATATAGTATGACTCCAACCTGTGACAAGTACATAAAGCTATTTACTGACAGAAGGAAGAGACTAGAAGGGAATTATAATATTAAGGGTTATTTCTTCAGGGTGAGCTCATTGGTATCTTTTCTTTGTCTCTTCTTTATCTTTCAGTGTTGTCTGGACTTTTTCAAAGGAATTAGATGTTTTGACTCAGGAGGAAATGACTTAAAAATTCAGCACGATGGTTGACCTTGATCATCAATCTTGGTTTAAGAGACATGTAGGAGGTTAGGGAAGTGTACTTCTGGGGGAGTGTGGGTGGTCCTGGGCCTGACGGTAGGGACTCTATCTAGTCCCTAAGCCTTCCCTGTTTGTGCGCCATGTCCTGATCACCAGGCCCTCTGCCACACCTCTCCACATGAAGGTCCTGCTTTGGAACCATGGACTGAGACCCTGAAACCGTGAGCTCAAATCACCCCCATCTTCCTTTAAGCTCAGGGTGTTGGGAATTGCGTCCTAGTAACAAGACAGCTCCTTTGGGGCTCACGCTCCACCTGCTTTTCTGGATTCTGTCTGTGCAGGAGTTACCAGACCTGGTCAAGGAGAAGGTCAAGGAGAGGCTGTCTTTGCCCAGGGTCTGCCTGTTCCTGAACCAAATAGTATCTCTGGGGAGACAGTGGGGACCCTCGTGAGTCAACAGAGCATGTAACATGACTGAGTGCCTGAAATCATATCCTTCCTGGCAGGAAAAAGGGACCAGGAGCTGGATCAAAATGCAGGGATTCAGCCAGGGCCACCAAGGATGGCCCGGTCCTGAGGTCGGTGGTGGTGTGAAAAGGCCTGCAGCGGTGTTGAGGAGTGTTCCAGCACAGAGTGTGAAGGACAAAGCCTTAAAGACCCAGTGGGAAAGGACGGGTGTACACAGACAGGGATTGTGCGGCTTCTCAGGCAGCCGGAGCTTGGTCCTTCCCCGTGGGGCTTCCCTCCAGGGCCCTAGATCCACCCCTGTGCTACTGAACTTGGGTTTTTCCTCCTGAAGAGGGGGCTGATTGTAGACGCCTCCTGCCATCCCAGACCTGGCTCCGCCCTGCGGTAGGCGTGCTGAGAGCCTGTGCACGGCTGACCGTGGCTCCGTCAGATGCCCAGGGAGACACTTGCTTGGATGACCCCACCCCTCTGTAGCCACCTTCAGTCTGGTCCATGAGGAGCCCTCTCCTCCAGACGCAGCACCCGCCTTTTCTTCTGCTAAGGGGACAGTGACGTCCCTGCCCCCTTAGCAGATTAGTCTGTGCACTGCTTCCCCATATGCTAAAACCTAAGTCCTAGTAAAGACTCTTGCAGATGCTTTGCCTATCCGCGATGTCTATCTCAAGCAGAGCAGGCTGAGCTGGTAACACTGAGAGCTACTGGCGTCAAAGGTCACTGGCGCTGGAGGGTGGCCAGGAGCCAGGGCTGGCAGTGAAAGTGGCGAGCAGCAGAGAATGACGGGGGGTGCCGGGAGCCACCGTCTGTGGTCACCAGACAAGTTCCCGAGAGCAGCTGGTAGCTGCTGGCTCTGGTTGCCGGCGGCAAGGAGGGCTGCTCACGCTGTGAGCTGGCAGGGGCTGGCACTCAAAGCTTGGGGTGGGTATGGCAAGGGACCTAGGCTTTGTCGGGTTTTGATTTCGGTCAGGTTGAGCAAAAGACCCCTGGGCTCATTGGTAACGCCTTCCCCGTGAAGCCTCCCCCGGCTGCCAGCTTGGGTCTGGCCCCGCTCTCTGCTACCCCCACCCAGGGCCCGTCCTGCCCTGTAGTTGCTAACCCATTGTTGCCAGGACAGGGCAGGTCTGCCTTGTTCACAGCTGTGCTCCCACCTTTAGGTGCTGAGCCTGGCACTTAGGAAATGCTCCTCGGCCTTGCTCCTAAATGCACAAGGAACAAAGGACATCAGCTCCCTCCCGGCCCGCACTGTCTAATCAGGCCTCTTGTGTAGGTTTCGGTAGCCGCAGGAGCCCGGGAAGCTCTGTGCCTCCTGCTGCAGGAGGTTCTGATCCGCTTGCCCCTGCCTGCCACGCTCTGGCCCTGCAGGAAGACCACGTCCTTGCTGCCTCTCTCCTTCCTATCTGCAGATGGGTCCATCCCCTGGTCCCCCAGGGCCCCTCTCCTTCCACGGGGAGCACCTGGCCGGGGCTCACTCAGAGGGGCTAGTCACCCCCAGCCGGGCAGAGGACATCTGTTGGCTTCAGCTTGTGCCCCCTCTTTCAGGTCTCCCCTGTCTCTGACTCTCGGTTCCAAGATCTCACCCCTGTCTCCTCCAGGCCACCAACCAGATGGGCCCCACCGCTTTACTCCTGACTGGTCCCTGTCGATAAGACCCTATTAGAAGTTGGAAATACATTTTCCTCCTGCTGATCTCTTCCCTTTTCATTTAGCAAACATTGATTTTCCCCCTTCTGCGAATGGAATAGAAATGAAATCACACACGTCTCTTTGGGGTGATTTAGTTTTCAGAGCCCGAGGCGGTGGGCAGACCCGGGTCCTCTTGTCGCCTTGTCCAAGGGTCACTTTGCAACCTCACGCCGTCATTTAGTCTTTTTTCTCTGCCATGTGCTTCCCAGCTGCAAAGAGACACCTGGTGCCCTGGTCTGAGGGGGAAGGAGGCTCTCTTCTGAGCCGGGCCACCTCCCTGCGACAGCCTGACAAGGCTTCTGCCAGACAGCCCAGGTCAAGGCTGTGTCAACACCAAGCCCTGTGAAGTGGCGATGACCCAATTAACCTGATTAGAGCGGCCAGCACCACCAGTGTCTTTCTGCGTCCCCCTTCCCGTCTGTGTGCTAAGCTCAGAAGCAAAGAGGACAAGGGAAACAGGGTATGGGGCCTCCGGGTACCCCCAGCTTGCTCTCCATGTGCCTCAATTTCCTGACTCTTACTTGGGGTAATATGGCCTCCCTCGGAAGTGTAGGATGAGGATTCAGGGGATAGCAACTGTGAAACCCTGCAGGTGCCCTAGCAGAGCAGGGAGAACCCTTGGGAGGGGTGCAGCATGGATGAACTCAAAGCCAGGGCCTGTTGCTTCTCTTAGAGGCAGCGTGGGCTGACCACTCTGTGCCTTGGTGGCTTTGTTGGTTCTCTAGCACACAAACACAGGCTCGATACTCCACAAGGAGGCTGGGTGTCATCATGGTGACGGTGACGCTGCTGGGGATGGCGATGGTGGTAGAAATGACGGTGGTCATGGTGGGGATGATGGTGGTGGTGATCTGTGATGGTCATGGTGGTGATCATGGTGGTGGTAGGGATAGTCTTGATGGTGGTAATTGTTGGTAATGATGGTGCGATGATGGTGGTGGTGATATTAATAGTGGTGATAACTGATAATACTGTCGATGGTGATGGCAGCGGTGGTGATGGTGATGATGGTGGTGTTGTGATGATGGTGATGGCGGAGGTGATGATATGGTGATGATGGTGTTGATGGTAATGTAAAGACAGGGATGATAACTGATAATAGTGTTGGTGGTGGTGGCGGTGATGGTGGAGGTAGTGATATGGTGATCATAGTGCTGGTGTTGATGATGACGTAAAGAAGGTGGTGACGGCGGAGGTGGCGGCAGTGTTGATGGGATGACTGTTGGTCGTGATGACATGAAGATAGTGGTGGTGACTGAGAAGAGTGTTGCTGGTGATGGCGGAGGGGGTGATGAAGATGGTAATGAGAATGGTGATGGTGAGGGCTATGATGTTGATTGTCACAGTGTGTGTCTAGATGTCCCTCAAAGCCCCATGCAGTCATGGGGGAAGGGCTTTTCAGAGGTGGCCAGATCTACAGTGTGTGGTGCTGGGATCAAGGCTGTGTGATTACTAAATCAGTCCACTGGTTGGCTTGGTATAGTTCTGACTGGGATTAAAGGTGTGAGCGCTACACCCACCCTAGGGCGGGTAGCCTGCATAAAATATGAGGGACAGAAAAGGGCTAATGTGCTCTCACCTGCCTGCCTGCCATGGACTGCTTCTTCTCTGCTATGTCCCTTTGCCATGTACCACTCTGCCTTGAGCCAGCCAACTATGGACTGAACCTCCACAAACTGAGAGCCAAATAAACCTTTCGTCTTTTAACTCTGGGTATTGGGTCACCCGAAGTTTTGTGTCAGTAGTGAGAAAAGTAACTAAGACATTGATGGAGATGATAACATTAAACAATTCTTTCTAGCCAGACATGGTGGTGCATGCCTACCGTTCCAGCTACTTAGGAGGGTAAGGCAGGAGGATTGCACATTTGAGTTCAGTCTGAGCGATTTAGCAAGGCTCTGTTTCAAAATAAAAGTAAAAAGACTGGCGATGTGGCTCAGAGGCACGGCACTTACCTAGCATGTGTGAGGTTTCAACCTCCAGTGCTGGAAAAACAAACCCAAGGCATCCCCCTTTGCTATGGGCTTCCTCTCCAGCCAAGCAGAGGAAACGTCCCCTCGGGAAGCCCTTTCAAAGCCACCCCTCTCCCATGGGGAGCTGGGCTCTGTTCTCCCCCTGAATGTGGCTGCCTCTGCAGCTTGCTTGACCAACAGACTATACTGGGAATGGTGCCCGAGACTCCCATGGCCGATGCAGAGGAAGCCTCACCACTCCCACTACAGGCCCTTGGGACATGCGGGGAACCCTGAGCTGTGACATGGGGTGCCCGGTCACAACAGGGACAAGCTGAGAGGCCTTCCATGTCTGTGCTGAGTGGCTGTTCCAGCCGAGTCCAGCCTTCCGGTCACACTGTCAGGGAGCCGGCTG